TTTAGCTAACTGTCCTTCAGATAAGGGATTTCTATCTAGAACATGTAAAGAACTGAAGAAAATCAAGCCCCCAACATTCAAGGACCCAATCCAAAAATGGACATCTGAGATAAATACAAAAGTATCAGATGGAGAAATACAAATGGCAAATAAATGTACAAAAAAATGTTCAATATCAGTGGTGTTCTGATTAATGCCCAAGCCACCTAATAGCCTTGTCTGCAAATGGACGCCTTGCTGGTTTCCAGCAGCACATGAAAGGAGACAGGATGCCTGGCCTCTTGGTCAGTGTCATTCGTTCCTCAGCCCCTTTTTTGTGTTCTCAGTGTCTCCACATGGAGCAGTAATCATTGACTGTAATCAAAGAAACCAATCCTGGTTGACATAGGCAGAAAATGAATGTATTGGGAAATTCCTGAGAAATCACAAACTTAACAAAAGGTTATACAACAAGTCAAGGAGGAAAAATAGGCAGTGGAGCAATACTGCTGACAACAAGGGCACAGCCAAGGTCAAACTGAGAGAGAGAAAGAGAGAGAGAGAGAGATGCTGCAGATGCGGCCCATGTGGTGCTTTCTTGCCAGGGGAACCACTAGAGTCTGTAAAGCATTGCTACTGCCAAGATTATCTCCAGCTGTCTCTTCCTCTGAGTATCAACCCTCTAGGATCAAGGCTAAGGTTAGTGTCACCCATTTAGTTAAATCTTGAGCCCACAACTGTGCTATAGCTACCAGGATGTAGCCGCTTCCTGCAAGGAGTGCTCAGCTTGCCTCCTGCCAAGATCCCACAATGGTGTAGGAAGAGGTTCATTCCAAAATAAAGAACTTGAATGCTGCCAAACCTTTGACGAATGTAGGCTACCCTTTGCCACTCCACAGCTCCTTCTCCTTCCATTTCTCTACCTGTTTACAGTCAAAACTGCCAGCATCCCTCAACACACCATCAGAGTGGGAGAATCCCCAGCAGCATAGGCAACTATAGGTCCAGTGTGTTTCCTAACTCTTGAACCAGGGCTGGGCTTGGGTCTGAGATTGGCTCAAGGGTTAGGGTACCCATGGTGCTCCTACAGAGTAGACAGAGTAATGGCCACAGGTTATGAAGTATCTCCAACATATATGTGTCCCCATGCTCTATAATAAATGTCTTAGATCATTTGGCTTGCTATAATAAAATACTATACACTGAGTAGCCCATAAGTAACTAATTTATTCCCACATTTCTGCTGTCTAGAAAGTCCAAGATCAAGGAGATTCTACATTCAATGTCTGACAAGAGCCCCCTTGCTCAAGATGGCACCTTCTAACTGTGCCCTCATAGGGAAGAAGGAGGTCTTTTTGGATTCTTAAATGAAGGCATTAATCCCATTCATAAGGGTTCTACATCTATGAGTTATTACTTCACAAAAAGCTTCATTGCATAATGCCATCACTTGCTGGGAAGAATTCAACATACAAATTTTTGGAGGACTGAAGCATTCACACCATTGCAGTGGGTTCCCACAGGGATGCCTCTCAGCCCAACTGCTGAGATCCTACTGCTCCAGCTAAGCCTGACTCAGTGAAGGCAATAAATCTGTATCTCTCTAATCTGCTGTTTCACAGGAGAACATGTGGACAGATCTCTGTTCCAAGTGGCCCACTTCAAAGAGGAGGGGATGCTCCTGGACAAGCCAGACAGAGTGGAGCCACATCACACCATCCTGGAAAACCCCACCTTCTCCCCAATGGGAGTTCTCCTGAAAATAATCCCTGGTGCTCGGCGCTTCTTCCGTGTTACCTGCACCACACTGCTCTACCATCACATCCATGCTGAGGAGGTCAAATTCCACCTCTACCTGATCCCCAGCGACTGCACCATTCGGCAGGTAACACTAAGAACCAGTACTTGTGAAATGCAGCCAGGGAACTATCTCAAGAGATCCTCAACTGGAAATCAGATGCCGATAACTCAGTTTTGGTGAAAATTCATGCCCTGTGGTCAACCACACGGCAACCCTGTGACAACTCTGGTCTCACTCAACTGCGTTCACTAGACAATTTTTTTTATAGCCTCTGTCCAGAAGTTGAAAGGTTGGGAAAACTGCATGGCTGAAACTGTAGATTTCTGACATTATTTTTTCTTCTCTTCCAGTGAAACTCTTCCCACCCTGAACATAGCATGGGGACAGTTAGGACTTTTAATGTGGAAAACAAGGAGAGGAGTGTAGTGGTGATATAGCTGCCCTTTACCCACACAGACATATTGACACACTGACACATCAGCCAACCTTATCAGATCAGACTGCAAAGGGCAATCACTGTTCTCTATGTCCTTTAGGCCATAGATGATGAAGAAAAGAAGTTCCAGTTTGAGCGAATACACAAGCCACCTCCAACAGACCCCCTTTACTTGGGATCCCGCTATATTGTATCTGGATCAGGAATGCTGGAGATTATGCCCAAGGTGAGCAGCAGCATGTCTGTCCCAGCTCTAGGTCAGAAGGTACACTTGGGGAAAATTTGGAGGCGATCCTCAGCTGATTGCCAGGGATTGGATGAATTGGGGAGGGATAGAAAGCACGTGGGATTAGGGGAGAGTAGAAAAGCTTCAGAGGTAGGAGCAAAGGAAGTTAGGGAGAGGAAAGATCAAATTCGGGATGAGGAGGATACTGGTGATTCACTTGGAAGAACTGGGAAGTGTTTGGCCTATAGGGTGTCAAATTACACCAGCAACATGCCTGTAGTCCAACACATTGGATGTATAATACACATTACAGCAAATTTTACAAAATGTGGTATCTTGAGTTGTATAAATGGAAGAGTGTCAGAAAGAAACTTCTGTAGGATTTGAGTCTTATTCTGGTAATTTCGGGGAAGGTACAAGGAAACAGATTTGCTGTAAATTAGGTATTGTCAGAAAGCAGGGATAGCCAGGCATGGTGGCATATGCATGAAATTCCAGCACTCAGGAGGTTGAGGCAGTAGGATCAAGAGGAGTTCAAGGACAGCCTGAGCTACATAGTGAGGTCAGGTCTACCCTGAACTATATGATGAGAACTTATCTCAAAAAATCAAAAAGAAGGGCTGGGGATATAGCTCAGCAGCACAAGTGCCCACCTGGCAAGCGCAAGGTCCTGAGTTCAATTCCCAGTACAAAAAAAGAAAAAAGGGGAAAGAAAGAATAGATATTGTGAAAGGGAAAAGAAACTGCTCAAATAGGAAAGAGCAACTGGGATAAAGGAGGGGAGTGGAAAAAGAAAGAGGATGGGGAAATATGTATATCCTGTGTATATATACACAGGATAGCTAGGATAATTGCACTACTAATATCTGTTGGTTTATTGAAAGGAGCTGTTAATCTGTAATTGTTTGACTGATCTTACATGCCTATATCTGGTTATATTTGCAACCATTTTGAAGATGACATTATGTAATATAACAACTATTGTTAATATCCTATCACCATGTTTTGAAATTCTGTATCATTTTTATTGCTCTTTATGCTATTTTGTTTATATATTTGTTGTTGTTTTGTTTTTTAATGAAAAACAAAATTTATATGTATATATAAGGATAGCTGGAATAAGTGTATTGCTGATGTCTGTGGTTTATTGAGGGGAACAGTCAATGCTAAAAATTTTCTTTTTTCTTAAGCAATTTTGCACACTTGAATTTGGTGATCAGAATCACTGATGTGAAAACAATATGCAGTATAAAAACCCATTGCTGAACTCCTACAATCATGCATAATGAAGTTCTGCATCATTTCCAATGTTTTATTTTTTATTTATTTTATTTTTTTCACTTGTTACTGTCTTTTATTATTTGATCAAGCTTACATTCTTATGTCTAGTGGACTGAGCATCTTCATTGAAGATAACAGTATGCAATATACCAATCATTGTAAATTTCTATCATTTTGTTTTGAGGTCATGTATCATTGTTGGTGTTTTTGTGTTGTTTTGATTTTGTCTTCATTGTTGTTTTGTCATATTTTTAATGTTTAAAAGAAAAAATGAAAAGAGAGAAAGACTGCAGGAATGATTCTATGATTGTTTGGGAACCCAGAAAATCTAATCTGTAGGGAAAGCAGATTAGGCAAGAATAGAGCTATAATTTCTAAGGTACAATAGTCACTTGTGGAGAGTGGTAGGGTGGGAGGTATTTGACATTTTGCCAGATGCCTGGTTAAGTGTCTGAAGATGTATTAGGTATGTCCCATACAGGACAACATGACTTAGCTGCAAATCTCAGATCAGTTTGTAATGACACTGATATCTATCTGTGATCTTAGATCCATTTCTGGACACAAGAGCATACTTTTTGGTCTTTTTCAGTATCTCCTACTTTTGACAGAATCAGGTAGGTTGAACCACTGGACACTGATCCATGATGTCTGAATGTTATCATTGCCCATATTTGCTGTTTTGGGTTAGAGAAGCATACACTGAATGGTAGTGTGTATTTGAATCAGGGTTAAATCAATGTGAGATGAATGCTTAGAATTACCTGGCTTGAAGATGCTTGTGTAATGGGAATTAAGACTCAGGGAAGGATGCATCAGACAACAGTAACACAGGTGACTATTAAAACCAAAAGACTATTTGTCTTTATAACAGATCTAAAACAGAGGGCTAGAATAGGAAATGCAGAATTCAGTTGAGATCTTTTAAGAAACACTGATAGTCTACGTTTTTCCTTTTCTAGTCACAAATTGCCACATTTTCATCAAGTAATAAGCACAAGAATAATTTTGGCTGGAGTGGAAATTCCCACAACAAAAATTAGACTTTTGTATGCAAGGGAGGTAGAGAGTGATAGATTCAACAGCCAGTTACAGCCAGTTAGCCTCAGAGCAGTAGCTACAGTCTAGGGAAACTATATCAGAGAGTTTTATTTTTCCTTAAATAATAGAAAGAAAAATAGAGGTCAAACCAACAAGGTGAAGATAAGAGACCTCATGTTTGTATTTTAGAGGTTGGCAAAGCAGAAAGATAGATGAAAGTTAGTAGTAAAATAAGAAGATAGGAAAGGCTGGTGAAGAATTAGAAAAGTGTCTTGCTATGATACCTCGGGCAGATTCTGCCCACCTTTGAAGTATTCCTCATGACCTTATTTAATGTCTCTAGATGGACCATATGTCCAGTCATCAACATGAAGTGATTTGGGTTTCTTCCATTGGGAAACATGGATCCAAGAATAAATACTTTGGTATTTTTCTGTCATGACAATTGCTAACAAGCATCACAGAGAGGCCTGATTGGGTTATTCAACCAATATTAACCCAATGGTGGGTATATGTTTCAGTAGAGGTAGTTCACTGGACCTCACAGAACTTAAGAGCCCTCTCATGGAGATCTTAATTCCTTGCAGATGAGGCCTCTATAATAATTAAAGAAGCAGTGAGCAAGTACACTGATACCAAGTGCTGTGAAGCAAAGAGAGCATCATGAGAGTGTCTCCAGACTCTTTGGACTATGTAGTTAGACAAGATATCTCTAACAAGATACAACTTGAGTTGAGGCCTCAGAGAAAGTGCCCATGCTCTAGCATGTGCCCATGCTCTGGCATGTGCAAATCTGTAGCACAGGGTTCAGGCAGAAAGCTATATGAAGAGTCATCAAAGTGAGCACAAACTGAACACCGTCACCTGAAAGAATGGAGGCCATTGTGGCAGAGATATGGGTATGCACCAAAAAATGAGGTCAAAGCAGAATCAGAGTCTCCCAGTGCCCACAGTCCAGTTGGCCTTGATGTAGAGTTTGGAATTTTTCCAAGGTCACTGCAAGTCCTTGGCGGATCTTAAATGTGGTGATACAAGAACTGACTTACTTTCATAAAGATGCTCTTAGCTGTTGAACATGAATAGATGATAAGCAGGCAAGAATGGAGACAGAGGGATAAATCCAAACACTATTGCCCTACCACAGATGAAAGTTCATGGTGGCATGACTAAGACAGTAGCAATGAAAATGGAGAAAAAGTGGTGGATTTACACAGAAACTACATGATTATGAAAATCAAAAGGCATATTGTCCTGTGTAACATGTCTTGAAGTTTATTTTGAGGTAGAGACACCAGCACTGGATGAATTGGCTATATATGGAGAGAGAAAGAAGAAGATAATGTGATACCTAAATTTGGAATCTGAGTGATCCAATAGATGGTAGTATCACTTACTAAGATTGAAGAAAATGTAAAGGAATGTGTAGAGAGAAGTCTGTCCTGGGTTTTATTTGAGGAAAAAAATGGATATAAATTTTCTGTTGGTTTGAAATGGGTAGAATTTGGAAATTACAGACTTAGGGCTTGAGAAAAGAGGACATGAATTTAACATGGAGTTGGGAGATAAAGGATACAGATGAAGATGGGAAAAAAAAGAGGTGGCTTAGGAAAAAGAGTACTAATTTTAGGATGAGCCCTGACTTATCTATGGGGTGCTCACTACATCTTTATACTTTTGAGTTTATATTTGTGAACTGAAGTTGGTCACTAGAGATGTTCAGTGCCCAAATGAGGTTAAGCAGGGCCAAGAAGGCATGGGGGGGCAGGTGCGTCAGGAAGGTCTCACTTGAGTATAAATGTAACATTTCACATAGTGTCACTTTTGCTCTACAGGAACTAGAGCTCTGCTATCGAAGCCCCAGACAACCCCAGCTCTTCTCTGAGATATATGTTGGGTGTTTGGGTTCAGGAATCCAGCTGGAAATGAGATACAAGAAAGATGAGACAGTTGTATGGGAAGCCTTGTTGAAACCAGGTAAAAGCAGGACAAGTCCAAAATCTTCAGAACTTGGAGAATAAAAGTGAATGTATGTGTGTGTGTATGTGTGTGTGTGTGTGTGTGTGTGTGTGTGTGTGTGTGTGTAATGTCACAATTTATTAATGACAAGAAGTAGCCTAGACAATTTATATGGCTTTTTAAAAGTTTCATAATATCTGGTACGATCAGAATTTACACTCAGATTAGCCAGGCTGTATTCCCCATTTCCTGTCCCATGTACAATGGTATCTCAACACTGCCCTTCTGTTAACAGATTTTGATATGCACAAGGCCATTGTCACATGGTCTCATGGGTGGGTTGGCTGGGAAATCAAAGAGAAAGTACTAGAGGGTTCTATGCTTAATGAAATAGGCCAGTTTTGTATCAGTCATTATTTGCAAGATGGACAGTAATAAAACACATTATAAACTTTCAGGAGTGTAAAACCTTACTTATTCTTACTCCAACACCAAACCATCCCTAAGCCAAAATCCCTTAACCAAACTTTGTCATTTGTCAGACCATAGTGATTTCAGCACCTGTACTTCTACAAATAGACTTCATCATGTAGTGAAAGGTGGAGGGGCTCTCCACAGCCTTGACTTGGGCACAACCACAGAAGATGAACTGACCAGGTCAGCATCAGATGTGGGTTTGAATCCTGCTCCACCACTAACTCACTTGGTATTTTAAGAAAATTACTTACCTTATTTGAACCTCAGGTTCCTCATCTGAAAGACAAGGATCACAATGGCTAAGTGGGAGAATTCTTGAAAAGATTGAAAAAATGATGTCTGGAAATGCCTCATGCAATGATCCTTAAAAAAATAACAGCAATATTTTCCTTTTTTCTCAAGTTAGGACACCCTCTACATCTTATCCATTTTAGTTCCATCACTTGAAATCCACAAAAATCTCTTTCCTTCCCCATGGGAAAGCCTTCAGTTACTGGAACACTTGGATCATGGCCTCCCAATGTCTCCCCCACAGCAAATTAAATGTTCTGTTTTTTCTTCTTTCTTCTATTTGATTTTTTAAAATTTCACAGTCACCTTTCTCACCAGATGCTCCAATTTACATCTGAGTCAGAACTGAATCAAAATAAGCATGAGGAACACCTGCTCACTACATCCAAATGTACCCAGTCATGGCAGTAACACTACCTGAGTGCTTGTGCCCACTCTGGGTTACTACAGTTAGGTCATAGTAAACTTAATCTGCTCCCATTCTCAGTCCTTGTTCACATGAGCTTTGTGAACCTTCTTCTTCTATGCAAATAATTCTTTAGGGGCATTGATTTGTTGTTGTTGTCATTGTTATCATGGATTTTCTTGTTAACATTCACTCATTATTCTCATATGCTAATATCTGCTGAATCTTGATTCTGACATCCAAATCCAGAATGTGCATATTTGGTCTGTGAGTATAGGAGAACAAACAAGGACAAGGAAGTCAGTTCTGCACAGAATAAGATATGAAGTAGTTTCAGTTATTTCACAAGAGCTTTGGTAACTTCTCCACCATTATTCAGTTCAGAACAAGGGAGAAAAAACGTGAGTCTCAGAAGTTGTGTGAAAAATTATTATTCCTTATTTGCATGCTTACCCCCTTCTTAGGTTATGGTCATAGGCTCTATGCCTCTATTTCTCCACGTTCATAAGACAGCCATTTGTCCAGATAAATTCTAAGTGGCTTCCCGTCCTAATTCCAGAGTCTATCAGAATCTGTTGTTTTCATGAAGCATTTCTTCTAAACTGAATTCTAAACCTAACTAACTTTACTCCAGCTCTCCCTTTATTTTTACCTTGACTAATGTGTTGTCGTAAATTAAAAGCCAAAATTCACAGCTTTGGACATCACTTAGGAATTTTATGGTGATAAAAATAAATAACCATTATTGAGCACCTAAAAAAAAAAAAAAAGAATCTGTTGTTTGCCCTCAGATCCAAGAAAATCAGAAGTGTGTGGGAATTTCAAGGCATGTGAGATATGCTCATAACTAGTACTCTTACTGATGTGCCTTTATATCTCTTTTCCTCCAGGAGACCTAAGACCTGCAGCCTCTCTATTCCCTCCATCTGCCATAGGTCAGCAACGGTTGTCAGAGACCACAGGTGACAGTGGCATTCCTGGGACATTCTGTCTTGTACTGGAAGGAAGGGAAGAGACAGGAGGTACTCTCACTGGAAACCTCACCAGAGGTCAGGCTGGAGGAGTGCAGCCCAGTGGCAGAATTCCTCCTGATGCCCCTTACCCCTGCCCATGAGAATGCTAGAACCCCATATACTGCCTCATGGCCCCATCATGGACCCTTCCCACCCACTCAGAGAGTGTCAGACTACATGCTGCCATGAATAAAGGCAACAGTGCTTTCTGGTGGTTAAATGCCTTTCCAGAGAGAAAAGGGAGTAAAAGATGAAGATGAGGTGATTAAAAAGATATAAATGTAGGGGATCAGAGGCAGGACCCATGGTGAAAACCTTTCTTTGCTCATTCTAGCCTCAGCTTCACCTCCAAATGTTCCAGCCTCACTGCACTTTGTAGACCAGCATCGGGAGCAGCTGGTGGCCCGAGTGACTTCTGTGGACTCTGTATTAGACAAGCTGCTGAGTGAGCAGGTGCTGAGTGAAGAGCAGTATACCAGCGTGCGGGCTGAAGCCACTAAGCCTAGCCAGATGAGGAAACTGTTCAGCTTCAGCCCATCCTGGAACTCAGCCTGCAAAGACAAACTTTACCAAGCCCTGAGGGAGATCCACCCTCATCTGATCATGGACCTCTGGGAAGCAGGTGCCAAACATTCAGGGGACCTCTGACATTTTTGGAGCTGAGCTCTAAATATGTGCATTTGAGTCTTGTAATGCATGCCTTTCCTCTGGGCCTCTGTTTCTTCACCTACAAAAGTTGCCATTTGAATTGCCCACTAGCTCTAAAGATAGGAAGATACCTGTTTTGAGGACAATATGTCCATGGAGAGAAGTGCCTCACAGGTAGCCAGACAGCCTTCCTTAGCTTTCACAGGCCAGATGTCTAGGTATGAAAACACCATCTCCAAGAAAGTTCATCAGGAGTGTATGAGACCCCTGCAGACATTGTAGAGCCAGGTCTCTTGCCCATAGCACCAAACAAGAACCCTCCTCATCCCATGTGGATGCAGACAGAAGTAGCAGGAACATTACAGTATTCATCTCTGCCTGGAGAAAACAATGAAGAGAACATATGTTCTTGTGGGTGGTGCTTGGCTATAAATACAAGAGAAAAATATTCATTGAAAAGTTATTCCATGCAGGCTTTGGTGAGTTGCTCAGGACATGAGAGACTCCACACCTTAACACAGACTATCCCCTTGTGGAGTGGAAAAACTTCTCCCTGACTCCTCTGCCATCCAGGGAGCCCCAGTCTGGAGGAATCCTGGTGCCTAGCCCATACTCCTGCTCTGTGGGTTGGGCAGCCAGCATGAAAAGTGCCTGGGGACTCCCGGCCTCGTAGCCCCCCGGAAGGAGGGGGTCTGGCACACAGGGAGCCACGGGCAGGGAGTGCCGGCCTCCCAGCTGGCTAGCTTCCTGCCTCATAGGCTCCTGGAGGGAGGGCCCCCAGTGCATGGGGAGCCTCAGGCGGGGAGCGCTGGTCTTCGGACCGGCGGCTCACTCCCGGCCTCGTAGCCCCCTGGAAGGAGGGCT